TTGTTTTTTTTTTTTTTTTTGTTACTTCTCTGAAGCCATCAGTTGATAGTTTTTCTCTTAGTCATTAGCCCTTGACATAGAGGAGACATCCCACTTGTCAGAATAGTGTTCCCAACTCCTCCTTTCAAAAAAGGAAAAGAAAAATACAGGCTATCAATTCAAGTTAAGGGACACTGATTCCTCACATCCCTGGTGTTCAGACCCACACCAGGGGCAGAGGAAGCCAGACTGAGATGAGACAAGGTCCCTTGAAGACCTTCCTGTCCAAGGGAGCATAAAGAGCCAGAGAGCATTCCTGTCACACATTTAGCAATAATAATGAAAGGAGATGTTTTAAATTATTCTCGTCTCTCCTGCTTTCCTTTATAAAGGAAAAAACAATTAAGTACTATTAGAGTCTCTACCATATATTTTAATCAACAAAAATAATTTTAGCTCATACAAGGGCGTTAGAATGAGGCAGAGTTCCATATGTTTTTCCCTTACAGGTTATATGGATACAGCAGTTAGAAGCCATTTATCAGCCACCATCCAGCTCAACTTTCCCACCCTTTGTGGGAATCTCTTTGTGGCAGCCTCAGTTTGGATACATCCAGTGCCTGGTGGTGCACAGCTCTGTGATGGAGCCAATTTTATTAGTCAACTAGTTTGCTGCATAGTTCTTCTTACTTTGAGCCAGGGATTTTACTCTCTGTCAATTTTATACATTGGTCTCATGTCCATATGCCTCTTCCACATGGTAATCCTTTCACATACTTTAAAATGTTGCCTTTCATTTTCCCAGGTAAGCTCTGTGAATTCACTTCAGGGCTTCTTTTACCTGACTCTGATCCCTACGTAGGGTCTGGTCTATTTAGAATGTAGTCATCGGGTTGAGACTATTAATGTGGCTGTTTTATTTTTTTAATATATTAAGTTTTAGGGTTTTTTGTTTTACACTGCTGTGGATCACTTTTATATGGCATTTCTCACCATGGTCTTGTAATACCCACCAAATGATTGGGTGGGACTATGCAGATAAGGTGCTTGTGGCCCACCAAGGGAATCAGATAGCTAGCTTAGCTTGCTGCTAATTTAAATAAGGTGCATGGCACCTTTGTGGGGTGGGATCATACAAGTAAAGTGTGTGAACCCAACCTGCTAGGCTTAAAATGAGCCATCCTAGAGATAGATAAGGGAGAGATGATTACCACCAAGAAGAAGAGAGAGAAGCGGAGTGCATCCTTACTGGAGATGGTGAGAAACAGCAGCAAAGTAATGGCAGCAGCAGAGGCAGCAGAGAAGAAGCTGAGTCCTGATACTGAACTGTAACCTGTTACCTCCCTAATAAGCTCAGTAATCCTGAGTACTGTCTGTGAGTTCTGTGTGGCCATTGCAAAAAAATTATCCAACCCAGCAGAGTAGAGTGGTGGGAGGGACGATTGGTGTCAGAATTGGTAAAAAGGTTGGAAGTGGAGGTGTGTTTGACCTCCCCCTTTTAGGAACCAGCCTTGTGCTGTTGATCTTGATTCTCTTTCCCCCTTGTGAAGTTCAAGGAGATCAGACGCCCTTGCTACACCATTTTTACAGTTTTAACTATATAAGGTACATATAACATTTGTCATTTTAACCATTTTTAAGTGTACCTTTCAGTGACGTTAATTAAACTCACTATGTTGTGAAAGTATCACCACTATCTATTTCCAAAACTTTTTCATCACCCCAAAAAGAAACTGTACTCATTAAGCAACCCCCTATTCTCTTTTGCCAATAACTGGTAACTTCTAATCTACTTTCTGTCTCTATGAATTTGCCTATTGTAGACATGTTACATAAGTGGAATCATATTTGTCCTTTTTGTCTGGCTTATTTCATTTAACATGCTGTTTCTAAGGTTCATTATATTGTAGTATGTCTCTGTTATCATTCCTTCTTTTGGCTGAATAATATTAATTTTCCATTGTGTGTCTATACCGCATTTTGTTTTTCCATTAATCTCTTAATGGATATTTGGATTGTTTCTACTATTTGACTATTAATGGAAAATGCTTTATGAGCATTGGTGTATACATATCTGTTTAAGCCCCTGGTTTTCAATTCTTAGGGTACATATCAGAGATTGGGACTGGTGGATTATACGATAACTCTGAAGAGCCGTGGTGGTGTAGTGGTTAAACCATTTGGCTGCTAACCAAAAGGTTGGTAGTTTGAGCCACGCCTCAAGAGAAAGATGAGGCAGTCTGTTTCCATAAAGATTTACAGCCTTGAAAACCCTATGGAGCAGTTCTGCACTGTCTTGAAAGGTCACTATGAGTCAGAATCGACTTGATGGCAGTGGGTAAAGGGGGGAGGACAATTTGGGGGTTTATGTTTGCTTGTTTGCGTTTACCTATTTGAAGGCCATGGGGCTACATGGAAACAAATATCTGGCACCAAAAAGAAGAGATATGATAGTCTTGGAGTGACCTAATTAAGTTTGAATTCATATGCTTCACAAATATTTATTGAGCTCCTTACTTGTTGGGGGAAAAAAAAAAGAGCCCTGGTGATGTTGTGGTTAAAGTGCTCTGCTGCCGACTGAAAGGTTGCCATTTCCAACCCACTAACTGCTCCATGGGAGAAAAATATAGCAGTCTGTTTCTGTAAAGATTACAGCCTTGGAAACCCTATGGGGCAGTTCTACTGTGCCCTTGCAATAGGGTCACTATGAATCAGAATAATTTTATATCAGTGGGTTTGGTTTTGGGATTTTATTTGTGAAAAGCACAAAATGCTTTTGAGAATCAAAATGAATAAAACGCACTCCCTGCTTTCAAGATAATTAAGGTACAGAATATTAAAGACTCTTCTGTTATAACCCAGAGAACTTCAAGGATGGCTTCAGCCTATAGCTGTAAAAACATACCTCTTTCAGATGAGGATTACAATATACAGCAAAAAGCATTGCTCTGAAATGCTCTTTTAGTATGGATGGCTTTTAAGTAAAGATTTGGGTGCAGACTACTCTCAACATGAAACTTTAGAGGTGTTTAGCTTTTGCTTTACTTTGGCTAATCTAAGAGCACCAGGAAATCAAAAAGTACTCTTGCTCTTGACAGTATAAAATTCTTATTATTTTTAGAGAATAGTAACTATGCATTTATGAAATTCTTTGTCAGAGCAATTTAGTTAATAGGTATGTAAATGACTACTTATTTCATTGTGTAGGTGGATCGCTCCATGTACACTTTCTGAGGAATTTAAGTGCTAAAAATTATTAACATTGCAAAGTGAAAGAAGCAAAAGTTAAGGTTATAAAACCAGACATTTTGTATATGTTAATAGCCAGACCAAAAAGGTCCATCTTATAATCGATATGTGTTCAGTTTACTGAGTAGGATCCAAGTCTTGGAATGCTGTGTTTAGATGCAAGGAAACTAAAGTGAATTAAGGTAGTGCCTAAAGCATTTGACTGCTAACCAGAAGGCTGGCAGTTCAAATCCACCAGCCACTCCTTGGAAGGAAGATGGGGCAATCTATTTCCATAGTGATATGCCTTGGAAACCCAAGGAGAGATCTCTATGAGTCGAAATTGACTCGATGGCAGTGAGTTTGGTTTTCGGTTTGGTATTGCTTCTTCTTGTTGGTTTTCAAGGATGAAAAAATCATAATAAACCCAGCTGGGGTGGGATGAACGAGCTCTGGTGGTACAGTGGTTAAAGCATTTTAATGCTAACCGAAAGGTCAGTGGTTCGAATCCACTGGCTGCTCTGTGGGAAAAAGATGTGACAGGTCTGCTTCTGTAAAGATTTACAGCCTTGGATACCCTATGGGGCAGTTTTACTCTGTCCTATAAGGGGAATCAACTGGATGGCAGTGAGTTTTTTGTTTGGGGTGAGCTAGTGGAAGGTGCTAGAAGTTAATGCCACAACAATCAATTTTCATACAAGACTTAGTGTAAGGCATCTAGTGAGAACATCTGCAGCGGGGAGAGAGGGGCACCTATAGGGCTCTTTGATATATTTACTATTTTTTCAACATAAAAACAGAGCAGGCTGGAAATTCCAGAGCCTTTCTGGTTCTAGCTGGCCTTCTGTGACAGTATAGAAACTTCTGTAATCCTTTAAGCATTAAACCAGGCCTAGCTTGAGGGGTTGGGTATTCCTACTTCTGTAGTGATACTGCCTCGGAAACCCAAGGAGGGGTCACTATGAGTTGGGGCCAACTCGATGGCAAATAACAACAACAACAACAACAGCTTGAGGGGAGGAGCCCTGGTGGCCCAACTGTTAAACACTCAGCTACTGACCAAAAGGTTGTTGGTTCGAACCCAATCAACTCAATAGGACATAACAATCTGGGAGGAAAATCACTTATGGGAGACAATAAACAGACCCTGCCTAAGATGGTCTCCAGCCCTTCCCAGAATTCATCCTACCCAGTGAATTATCCTCTTCTTCATTAGTGTTTTAATCATTACATTCTCCTTCTTTGGAATTTTCTCAGATTCCAAATTATCATGCAGATTAAATTAAAATTCTCATCAAATTCCAAGCCTTCCACCAGTTTCCACTCCCCCCTTTAACTACCTGCTCTTGACACCTACTCTTGACTCCTACTAACATCAGTTCACGGTCTTGGCATCAGGCTAGCAAACGCAGAAACTCACTCAGGTGTTTGTTTCTTCCTGTGGGCACTACAGCTCATCTAAGTCTCCTTTCCTGCTTCTCTCATCGGGAATCCAAGTACCTCGACATCAGTGCCATCTGACAGCAGAGTCTGTAGCCAGGTCCACTTGCCCCTTATCACTTAGCTCTGCACACCTGTTACCACAAGCATGAGTTCCTTTATTTGGTAAGTTCTTGGTTTGCCACTGAGGATAGGGAGCTTTGGCTGCATCAACTTAGCTCAACTTCCTGACTCTGCACACAGGCCCTGCACATTGTGAGTGCTTCCTTGGTGGTAATTTTTGCCTTTAATTTAAATAGTATTTTAAAAGTTTTCATGTGTTTGCTTTTGCTTTTGTTTTCCATTTCTTTTAGGTGCAGAGTGAAGACAGTGTCCTCCTGTTTGTTATTGCTTGGACAATCACAGAAATTATCCGTTACTCCTTTTATACATTCAGTCTGTTAAACCATCTGCCTTACCTCATCAAATGGGCCAGGTAAAAAAGTCCACATGATGAAGACTAGCTGTTGATATTATCCATCGCTGCATTCGCCCTTTTTTTCCTAAATATTGTGCCTAAGTTTCTAAACATAAAATTGTGTGAGATGAGTTGGATGGAAATCTGGTGTGCAGATTTCATCAGGAGGAAGGACTCTGCTTGCTTTGATTAATAGAAACACTGTTTTAAATTTCTTTGTCACTTAAGTTATTTTTATTGGGATCAACTCTTTTCAGTTAAATTATTCAATTAAGGTTTGACATAATATCAAATTTTTGTCTTATCAAATATAGCTTCTGCCATTATAAGTTGGGGGGGCAAGTTAATTTCACCTATTCTCAGTTTTACCAGGAAACTATATGACTCTCAGATCAAATTTTAGCTAATAATAAATGTTGCACGTCAGTTTTAGCTTGTTATCAGTTTGATTAGTGCCTAAGGCTAACCAGAAGGCTGGTGGTTCAAATCCACCAACCACTCCTCAGAAGGAAGATCGGGCAATCTACTTCCATAGAGATACCACCTCGGAACCCAAGGAGGGGTCTTTTTTTTTGACTCATTATGAATTGGATAAAAGACAGATATGATAGTTCACTATTTATCTTAGTTAATCCATGAGGCTGATACAAATAGTTTTCTTAGTTGGAAAAGGCCATGGAGGGGAGTAGCAATGCAGAAGGATGAAAATGGTCCTCAGGGACCCAAGTGCTTCATTTCAGAGAAGGAAAACAGTGATTCCTAGAGAATTTATGAGTTTAGTGATTAAATTAAGAGCATAAACCAGTTGTTTCCAACATTTCAAGTATGAAAATGCCTTTTAT